TCATTTCTTGTAAAATGTTCCAAAACAGCCACTGACGACTCCACATGTTTCCTCTTTTGTTCGGTTGTTAAAAGTTTAGGGATCCACTTTGCTGCCAGCTTTCTCATTTCTAAGTCATTGTGGATGATGACACCAACTCTCTCACATGATATTCTCAGATATATAGCAATACTTTTGGCTGCTTGCTATTTGGTGGTCCTCCATGATCATGTCATGGATGGCTTTCACATTTGCAAGGACAGAGACAGAAACAGGCCTTCCACTGGGTTTCTCACTTTCAACACTGAAATGGCCAGGTTTAAAATTGACAACCCAACATTTAACTGTTGCATAAGGAGGGCCATTGTCACCCATAGTTTGTGACATTTCATCATGGATTTGCTTTGCACCTTTCCCTTGGAGAAACAGGAACTTGATTATAGTCCTATGCTCTTCCACATTGAACTTTTCTGGAGGTGCTGCCATGTTCACTTTGGACCTAAACATGAAAGATAAGTTAAAATCATAGGTAGATGATTTTTGCAGCATTGAATACAGCCAAACTGGCCAATACACCCTGCAATTTATAGCTTCCTAGCTCAATTTTTTCTGGGAAAGGCTCAATACTTATCAGCACCCCCTCGTAATAAAGGATCAGGAATGTGATGCATTTCTGTTGAACAATCTCTATGGGTGGCACATTTGATTAACGCAAACATACAGAATAAATGTCATATAATCAGACTACCCAGACGTTTGTAACTGCGGACAGGCATACATTCTGAAAGGTTAGTACATATTGTGCATTTCACAGATCAAATCAGAAGTCAGGACATTGATTCACCAAAGAGCTCTCAGAACAGTATTTTAACCACCTTCTTTAAATCACAAATCTCTGCGGACTATGTTTTCTATCCTACAACCAAAAACCCAGAATGATATACCAATTACTCACCTTATTTTAAACAAGCCAATGCTTTATCTTATTTTAATACCATAGGGGAGTGAACGCAACAGAAATGAACAAAACAGATATTCACTACACAATGTTATTGCATTCGCTGACTGCCTATATAACCCTCCCGCTCACTGTACAGAAAAAAAACTCTACAGACAGAATTTACCACAACTGGATGAACACATTTCTGCCAATTATCCCTGCCTCTGCATTTTTTTTTAATGTTCTGAAAAGTAAGAAGAGTACTAAGAAGCAAAATCAGTGTTAGGGTATACAGTACACCTGTGTTTCTGAAAAGTAAGAAGATTCTTCAGATTTGCATGTGAGGTGGGGGTGAAGGAGAAATCCGTAAGCATTTTTGTTTTTCCACCTCACCCTAGTTGACTGCTTCCTCTGGGTCCCTGTGCCCTTAGCTATACAAAAAGTGCACTTCTCTGTGTTGATAAGTCAACTCTGGATTGAATCAATCATTGTAACTTCCTACTGCATTAATTCAAACAATTACTCTATGTGTTAGGTATACTGAAAGACTACAATACAGTCATGTGAAAAAGAAAGTACCCCCTCTTTGAATTCTAGGGTTTTATGCATCAGGATAAGTCATATGGTCCTTAGCAGGTCTGAAAATTGGGTAAATACAACCTCAGATGAACAATAACATATTGCACTGTGTCATGATTTATTTTACAAAAATAAAACCTAAATGGAGAACCCATGTGTGAAAAACTAAGTACACCTTTACTGATTCCATAGGAATTAAGAGACTAAGTAACACCCAGGTGATGCTAACCAAATATCTTTGAATAAATTGATCATCAGGAACTGTGACCACCTCTATAAAAGCCAAACCTTTAGCAGTTTGCTGGTCTGGAGCATTCAGGTGTGTGTTAACACAATGTCAAGGAGGAAACACATCAGTGATGATAGCAGAGAAGCAATTGTTGCTGCCCATCAATCTGGGAAGGGTAGAAACTTATTTCTTTAAGGCTATTTCCAAAGAATGTTAAGTCCATCATTCTACAGTGAGGAGATTATTCACAAGTGGAAAAAATACTCAAAACATTTACCAATCTTCCTAGGAGTGGCCCTTCAAACAAATTCACTCCAAGGTCAGATAGCGCAATGGTCAGAGAAATTTCAAAATTCCCAAGTTACATCTTAGACTCTACAGGCCTCAGTTAGCATCTTAAATGTTAATGTTCATGACAGTACAATTAGAAAAAGACTGAACAATCATGGTTTGTTTGGAAGGGTCATGCAACAGGACAAGGATCTTAAGTACACCAGCAAATCTACAGCAGAATGGCTGAAACAGAAAAGAACCTACATGTTGCAATGGCCAAGTCAGAGACCAGACCTCAACATGATCGAAATGCTGTGACAGGACCTTGCAAGAGCTATGCATAAACAAATGCCCACAAACCTCAATGAAGTGAAGCAACACTGTAACGAAGAGTGACCAAAATTCCTCCACAACAATGTGAGAGATTAAAAGTCAATACAGAAAATGAATACTTCAAGTTATTGCTGCTTAACGTGGTTCTACAAGTTATTCAATCATAAAGTGTACCTAGATTTTTACACATGGTTTCTCCAGTTTGGCTTTATTTTAGTAAAGTAAGTCATGACACAGTGTAATATATCATGTGTTGCTGTTCATCTGAGGTTGTATTTACCTTGTTTTCAGACCTGCAAAGGACCAGATGATTTTTATAATGCCCTGATAGGTAAAACCATAGAATTCAAAGAGGGTGTGCTTTCTTTTTCACATGACTGTATGCCTAAGACACCTAAAGTCAATTTAACCCACAGTCACCAGGATTTTGAAAAAAATAAACTTTTACTAAATAGAATTGTGGGATAATTTCTGACTCCAGGTAGAATTTCAGTATTTTAAGGGCATATTAGGGTATACAGTACACTTCTGTTTCTTGACTTTGATATGAATTGTAATGTTCCCTTGTAAATGGCCAATCTACTGACAGGCAACATTACTACTGGTTGTTGTGGGTTTTCTGGGCTGTCTGGCCGTGTTTCTTAAGGTTTTTCTTCCTAACGTTTCGCCAGTCTCTGTGGCCGGCATCTTCAGAGGACAGGAGTCAGAACTCTGCCTGTGCTCTGGTGAGTTTGTTTGGGTAGCTGCGTATACAACAAACTGCACCAGAGCACAGAGAGAGTTCTGACTCCTGTCCTCTGAAGATGCCGGCCACAGAGACTGG